TTCACGTGCACCTCCGCCAATGTAATCTATTGCATAACTTGCACTTATTGCAAAAAGACATACATCAGCGAAACAGGCAGAAGACCAGGTGACCAATTCCGATAACACCTTTGAGACATGGAAAGGACTGACAAGGACACATCGAAACCAGACGCTAGACATTTTAATTTACCTAATCATTCTAAGCAACATATGGCAATCTGCAGTCTTTCCTTACACTTAGGTAGCACGGAAAGCCGTAAAACTCTTGAACAAAAGCTAATCCTTCAAACCGGCAGTCTAAATCCCACAGGGATCAACGAGTGCTTTTTACTCCACTAATTTATTCCTGTTTTTCTCGTTGCCATGTTCCCAACAATAACGTAGCTCCATTTTCTGCCTTTAAAAGCACACACAACCCACAATTCCTCTATTCGCTCCGATGAAGGGCTAATGCTCAAAAGGTCAGCTTTAATTTGTAATCGTTACGGTGGCCAATTTACCATTTCAACTTTGTTGATATATCCAAATTATATTGTTGTGATAGCTTTTCTTGATTCTGAGAAATTTTCAGGTTAGAATCAACACCAAATGGTGGTATTTTGAGGAATCTAACAAATGTTTACTGAAATTTGCAGAACATGTAGATTGCTGTAAAACTGTATTTAATTTAAAAATTACTGTCATTTTAGTTTTCATTTTCTATTTTCATTGAACCATCCATCATGACTACAAAAATATATTTATTCTCAGAAATTAAATAAATGTTCTCTGAATCTCACCAAAACAAATTGTTTGGTAAACATTCAGCATTTAAAAGGAACATGAGGATATACCAGACATACCAGATATACCAGACCCATGAGACTTCGCGTAAGAGATATTCATAGGAAAAATATCTACCTAGTACCAAAACAGTTTAGAGAAACATTTACATGAAGGACTAGTAAAGTTTTAATAGATGAGTGTAAAATTTGTGAAGTATGTTCTTAAATCAGCTAAAAAGTATTTATCTGTTGCTAACACACATTGATCAGTTTTATTTGTGCAGGAAAATTAGCTAGCACGAATTAGTTAGTTTTCAGATAATAATTTTTTTTCTTTAATTTCAATTTTCAATTACTTTGTCAAAAGCTTAATCCCCTGACACTAACATGAAGTCTACCAACCTATCTACCTGTTAAATGAATTGACAGGAAATGAAGAATCTGAGGATTCTTATAAAACGTTACGGAAAAATTCCTTATGTCAGGACTTTTCGTATTTAGTTTTCCAATTTTCACTTCGCAAGGAACAGTTCAGTTAATTTTATCCAGTGGACTATTCACAAAAGATAAACTCTCCTAGGTAACACTTCCTCCAGATGTATATAAAAACGTCACAGCGTATCATTCAATGGAGAAATGAAGGCTTGTCAACACGTCTTTAAAACCCCCTTTGACTGCTATTAACTAAGGATGATCTGAGTAGAAAATGAAACCGGAAGCGTATCTTTCGGGGGATCACCGCTACATAATATTTATAGAAAATCAAAATTGACTTCCTTACAAACCTTCGTTGCGCCCTAGATAGAAAAATACCGAAAATTTCGCAAGAAAATTGCGATTGTTTCCACAATAGAAAAAGATAATCTTAACAAAATTCTAACATCCCAAGAATCTTACATCGTGCATGTTGAAAACGAGCGTCTATGCTTGTCAGCTTGCACAATCTCCATCAAAAGTGGGAAAAAGGATCGAAACGAAACATTACGGGCGTTTTCGCATGAGTCCTATAGATTTCGATCGATACTTAATTTCTATATGATCACGAAGATCTGTTTTAGTACATAGCGAAGTAGCCACAAAACACAAGCAAAGTAAAATACGCTTCGCTAATCACTGTGCATGACATAACAATCCCATTTGATCAACCACAAAAAACACGTACCGCAGTTAAATCAGTCGCCTTGAAATAACTTCAACAGACTGTTGAAGTGCGTAGAATCGAAGTATTTCCAAGTGTCTATTCATAAAGATATGTTGCTTGACATCCTCGGGGTTTTCGCCTTCTTAATAATCATAACGAACTAAGGATAACGAAGTAGGGAATTATGGGATTGGTGTTCAGTGGCCTCCTCACCTCTAGTGTCCAGGTTTTTGTCAGTCGATCGGTCCCCTCCTGAGGGTGGGGTGGGTTAAGGTGCTTCTTTAACATCTCCTTGGAGATGGCCAGTAGAAACTCGAGCTATCCATGTCAATCATATGTATCCCCAAGCATGCCCGGTTAACCGTGCTAGTACGTCCTTCAATTTAATTTTTTTTTTTCCGATTTGTTTGGAGATGTGGTCATCACATTGGGTTTTCCGAGCGTCACAGCTAGCTGACCAAAGAAGGGTGCTGTGTTAGCACTTCAGGACTTCGGCAGTGCTGTGACTACTTCTCGTCAAGGAATAATTTTTCTATTCTTATTTCAATTCTCAACTTGAAAAAAACAAACACTAAAAGAAAATAAAAAAAAAAAGGTTAGACGAATGGAGAAGAAAGTTTAAACAGTTATGTCGTCTGTGCCTTCATTTCGAAGTCACCTGTATTGATATATTGTAGCGGAAAATAAAATCGTTTTACTCTCGGTTCTTTAACATTGGAGTTACGCTTGCATCTCGCGTTTTTCCTTCTCATCGAGGGATGTTTTGCAAGTCCAAAAAAGAAAAGAACAGCTCATCACATTCCGCTCTTTGCAAATGTTTTCAGCAGCACGAAAATGTCACAATCTAAAATAGAAAGGGATTCCATATCGATTGTATCCCTAGACAAACAGAGCACCTTATAAAAAGTGAGGACTAAGCATCTGCAGGATCAACGAACGTACAAGAATTTTTTTAGGAAAAAAGCACAAAATTCGTCTTATATTAATTTCCCAAAAAGAGAAAAAATATTTCACGATATATAACCTAGCTTGTAAAGCTAGCAACGGATAATGTGAACCAGCGTTTTGAACGAAAACAAAACTTGATAGCTCAGATGATGTTTTATTTCTTTCAAGATAACAACTTAAACTAAGCGAAATTGCGAGGTATCAAGTATAAGGTAACAAGCAGACCCCTTTTTCCAAATGTTCGTCTCCTTTGCGAGTACAAGGAATCCAGTAAGGATTAACAGTGGATCGTGTGAACTGATTGTCTGGGTGAGAATATTTTTAAGGCAGGACTATTGTCATTGACAGTGATTGTTTCAAGCTGGTTTATTTAGCCTGCAGAGCAGGCGTTCTTGCGAAGTTTGGGGTTTCTGTTTTATTTTCCAGACCGCGCGTAAAATGGAGCGAGGCGAAAAATTAGGAGGCGGGGGGAGGGGGAGAGGAGAGAAGGGTCCTTTCCCTAGCCCTAACCTCTCCCCCCCACCTTCTAATTGTTCGCCTCGCTCCGTTTTACGCGCGGTCTGGAAAATAAAATAGAAAGCCCGAAGTCCTAATTTTCGCCCAAACTCCACAAGAACGCCTGCTCTGCAGGCTAGGTTTACTGGAGTCCAGCAAGTAGCATGGATACTTATGTTGACGTAACAAACAACAGTCCTTTCCAGGACTTCTCTTTCCCAGACGACCAACCACTTAAGGTAATAGTCTTTCTATAGCTTGTACTGATTCATAAGAGAAATGCAGCGTGGTTGTTTGTAACAAGCTTATCATGCTTGATAAAGGATACATGTGCGTTGTGCTTGTCTTAGTTGTAACGATGGGTCTCCCTTGTTATCGTTACGTTATCATTTAGACTTACGATAACTTATTTTCCATTCGACTGGTGAGCCGGCAATAATGCCAAAGATGAAATTATTTAACCCCATCATGTCGTCAATTTAGCCTGACTTCCTAACGAAACAAAACAGTGCCGACCAAATACTTTACAGCAGAGTTTCAACTGGTGGCTTAAAAGGAAACTGTCACTTCAGAAAATGGAGTTCGTATCCAAAATAAAATATGTGAAGAATAAAAGGGAGAAATTCAAAGACAACTTAACACGACGGATTTCCTGGTTTGACTTAATTGCGATTAATTTGGAACGATAATTTTTAGTTGCACTCAGAACATATTTTACACTCAGTATCGCAAATTAAAACTATTAAGAAGATCTTTCAATCCTTTAAAAAATAATCTACTATGAATTTTTGTCGGCGACTGCCATAGTCCTCTTCACTCTATGAGGACTTTCTTTCGTCTACGTTTCCATTACTGATTGACTCGGAATCTCCAGCGAGTTCATCCTCTTGTTCTGTGGACTGTTCACCCACAGCTTGTGCCCCTTGAAACTCCTGAGGTCTGCCATCAGGGCCCACCTGAGCTGTCCTAATCAAACCCTTCCTATTAAGGTCTTGGATCAGACCAGCCAGTTTCTCAGCTTCTTCTTCCTTCTCTTGCTCAGTCATTTCATCTAGCGGATTGGGTTTCCCATCATCCTTTGGAATAGCACCTAACAACAAAACAATGTTAACATCGTCAAATACTCATTGACATCACAAAAAAGAAAGTGCAGCCATCTTTTATCATAAAGAGGGCCAAAATAAGATGAACGCCTTCGTATTTAGATGTAATTTTCCCTGACTTCGCGTGAAATTCTCTGACTTTTCCCTTCCTTTGAAGAAATTTGTTTTTCCCTGACTTTTACCTGACCCATGGCAACCAAGCGTACTGACATCAGAATAAAAAGGGTTAAAATCAGTGCCTCAACCAGGATGTTTTGACATTGAACTAATTAGAGTATTCAAGACACTGCTGACTTGAATCAACTTTCTTTGTATGGCAATCTGGGTATCCCATCCCTCCCCTCCCACCCTCCCCTCTCCTCCCACAAACAGACCATGGAACTGTTACACTGTGCAGAGATAATACACACAATGTAACAGCTGAGTAGTACTGCTAGTTCCTTGCACTTCTGAAAGTGAAAAATACTACTAAGTGCTAGTCTGTACAAGTGTCCGTCTTTGAATTTCCTTCAAAACACCAACAGAGTTAAATAACGTATGCACATGCGCTAGGTTTTGCCACAGAAATAGGATTTTTTGAGTAGTTTGCAGGGTTGATTTCCTATTCTGTTGCTTCAAGGCGTCGTTTTCCTTCCCGCTTTTCTTTTACAGAACAACCTCCAATAACTTGGTACACCCCCTAAAAATTTTCTAAAGTTAATTTTCTCCTTAAAACTTCTGGAAATAGGGAAATGCCTTTGGCCAAAACAAAGTTCCTCGGTTTTAAATGGCAGCCCTTGTTATTTTCCATTAATTTCGCCAAATTTTAGACCTAGAACACTTGAGCCCGCATTGATGACCGCATACCCTCTGACGTAGCATTTCATTATTCAGCCCAGTCCAAAATACCTGAAAACTTATTTTCTCTCTCTCTCACTTTTTCCTTTGGAAGCATTATATAACGCTGATCGACATGCATCTGAAACTGGCTTTTTGCAAGCATCCCATATGTTCCTTTCCCAAAACCTTTTTGGTGTTCCTCTTTCTCTCTCCTTAAATATTCTCACAACAACATGACGACATGACCAGACCAAGTGATTACTTTCTGCTCTTGAAATATTAAAACCTTCATAAAGAAACTCACCAATCATAGGATCAATCTGTGCCTTATCCATGGCATATTCTTCAGTCTCAGAATCATCATCGTCCGAAGAGTAATCTCCACTGCTCTGTGCCTGAACACCCCCCATAAGCCCACGTGAAGCCAACAGCCCTGCAGCATTGCCATAGCCGGTGTATTTAATAAGACGATTGACATTCTCCTTACAGAGAACAAATAGGAAATCTGCCACAAGCTCCTGACGAAAAAAGGAATTCCCAGATTTAACACTTACTTATCCTTGACAAAGTTCCTTGCAGGGTTGCATTCTCGTTTCAGAAAAGTTAACACTTGTGCCCTCAAAGAACCAATTTTTTTCGGAAAAATCCACTTTTTGGCATTAAGCAATCAAATAGGTCTATTTAATGGAAAATCAGGTGAAAAAGTCAGGGTTAGGGTATCTTTTAGGGTTAGGGTTAAGTAAATTTCTTATCATTTACTATTTAGCTAATTTCAGAAAATATTATGAACAGCAATTTTAAAAATTCTTAGGTCAATTATAGTTTTGGCAAAAACTTAATATATAACTTGTGTGATTAAAAAAAAAACATGTAACATCTAAGAAAATACTAGTTTAAAAGTCAAGAGTTTGGCACTGCACTGAATCTTGGAATGATTACACTCATGGTTAGCATTAAAAATAAAAATGCTCTCCATTTGACTCAAGATGTGCATATTTGTCCTTCCATCTCATGAACTTTGTGGGAAACATTGAAACAGTCTAAACAAACATAGAGGCGTGGTGGCCTCATGGTTGATGCCCTCAACTGCGGATCGAGTGGTCTGGGTTCAAGCCCCGGCTAGGGACATTGTGTTGTGTTCTTAGGCAAGACACTTCACTCTCACAGTCTCTCTCTTCACCCAGGTGTATGAATGGGTACTGGCGAATTCAATGCTGGGGGTAACCCCGTAATGGACTAGCATTTCATCCAAGGGGGGTAGAATTACTCCTAGTCGCTTCCTGCTACAGAAACCGGAGTTAAGCACCAGCCTGATGGGCCACATGGCTCATGAGTAGGCTTTACCTTAACTACCTATACAAACAGCCCTGCTCTGTACAAACACACCTTGATATCTTCAAGTGGTGATGTCATTAGCCTGACCAAGCCATTCCTTATCAAGTTTCCTTCTTCTGGACGAGTGGTGCCCACCTTTCCCAAGGGTGGTAACACCTCCTGTCGAAGATACTTCCTGATCACTCTGTTTCCACGCGCCATTTGACAAAAAGCACTCAGAAATGGGACAATATCTTCTTGCAGTGTCTGACTGGCACCTTTAAGACGATCATCCAGTATTGTCAACATTGTCTGAACTGTCAGCATATTGTATTTCTAAAAGGCAAATACAGTTATTGACTGGTAAACATGTATATTTGTCAAGTAGCAGTAAGGCTACTAAATGCTTCCCGGACAATCATGAAGCAATTTCATTTAACACTCAAATTGATCATAACTTAGCAGCAGCTATTGTAAAATTTTCTTTGAAAGTAAAGTAAATTGTTAATGTCAAATTTAAATATGTAAAATGTTTTTGCCAGTATGGTTCGGGTATCCTTATTCGATGCTTTACATGCAAGCATGGGACACTAAAAACTGCAGTTCTTGGAGAATGTTTTTTTTTTTCAAAACTATTTGTTAATAATCTAACAACAGAGCTAACAATTCAGATTGAGTATACAAAGTGTTCAAATGAGGCCTTAAACTGCTGCAAAAGTAAAATTTAAAATCCAAGCTTTCACCGATCAACAGATTGAATTGTGTACTTCCTTGTAAACAAGAACACAGATGAGTTAGGCTTAGTATATTACAATCAAATAAGATGGCCTTATCCCGTGGAGCTTGGTATAACCCATCATATAACCACCAATGGAAGTCAAACATCAATTGATATGTTTTCAAAGTTAGTATTATTACTGCAGTAATACTAGCTTTTTTTTTTACTTCTTAGAACATCTTTTGTGGAGGCAACTGGTTAGAAAGTCCTACAGATTTCATACTTGTAGTTTACTGTAACATTGATATTTTTGGATCCAGTTGGGCACAATGTTCAGTACCATTCCACTGATGTCAAACCAACTGACCAGTAGAAACGTCCCATTAATCTATTCATTCACAATGTGTGGATACAAACGCCAAACATTATGCACATTCTGGAGGTTACTAACCTAATGTTGCACCACTACTTACTATATCATTTTTAATGTCTGCCAGATTTTCTTACTAGTCCCCTTCACTAACTATACTCAAACCTCAAAGTATATCCTAAACCTCTTCAATGAGCGTCTTGTCTCAAAATCTTGTGCAAGTGTTTTACAAACACTGGATGGCATTGTCCACATTAAGTGTTGGAGACAATTAGTTGGCATGTTGGACAAGATATTAATTGCATGATTTGGAAGGTTCTCTGGCTGATCAGACAGTGGCTTGATGTGCACAAACATGGTTCGCACAATAAACACTATCCTTTCACAGTGTTCAAGTGTGTCAGTGCTATCAGCATCAGGAAGATTTATCGTGATGTTAAACATTGTTTTCAGGATTTCTGCAGACATGCGAATCTCATCTTGTGACATGGTGTAAGTCACTGGACTTTCCTCAATCTTGGACCTTTAAAAGAATTACAAGTAATTATCATAATGATTATAACTTTACATAACACAAAATTCAATTGTCAATTAAAGAAATGGTTGGAAAGGAAAATTATACACTTAATATCTGGTTTGAGGCAAATAACTATTTCACTGTCCTGGAAAAAAAAAAAAGCAAACTTTGTTACAAGAGAGAAGACAATGTAAGGGACACAGGAACATAAAGAAACAAGGTCCACAGTCCATTAACAAGGAATTGCCTCAAATTTCATTCCAAATTGTATTGTATAAAGTTAAGTCTAACAAGAGTTAGCAGAGGAAACATAGATACCAGAACTAAATAAGCAGTGTTTGAAGTTCTCTCTCCTTAAGTAAAGTTCAGCAAATCATTGAAAGAATTGGTTCACAGACACTCTACTGATAAGATAAGTTTTAATTTGCTTGAAGTGCAACTACATTGTGATAACATATCAACAGGCCCTGGCAGAGTAACCTACCAATTCTCTACAACATATATATTCACTGTAAAATGACATAAAAATTAAATATTGGTGTAAATTTGCGTTGTAGTTTGAAATGACTTCAGATTAAAATGATCCAAACTAGTTTTTTGGATTTGAATTTTCCTTTCCCAAATTAGTTGAAAATAATTCGACCTGGAATTCATTCTAAATTACAACAATCTACTTATTTGTGCACTCTAAGGTAAATTAAATAAAGTGTATCCTTCGCAAAAAATCATTGATATTTACCTTTCAACAACAGTAAGTGCCTGGAGCCTTGCTCCCGTAAACTGTCCACAGCCTTCTCTGACTTTGGTCTCATGACAGATTTTTCTCTGATCCCTCCCTGGAATACAGCTGTCCAAAGCATGAGTTAGGACACAAAAACCACTGTTGGCAATAACGTCCACTCGGGCAGCGTTTTCAAGAGCAGTAAAAAGGAAAAGTAATCTGAGATCAAAGTATTTCACATCGAAAGCCAAGCGGCTGATCTCAAACCATATCTTTACTCTAGCAATGATTGCTTCGATGCATCTGTATTTCAAACATAGTTGACGAGCTGTTTGACTGTGATAGACTACATTACATAAACATTTGAGCGCTTCAACAACTACATCGCTGTGCGGGATAACTCTCTCGCAAGAGCCCTCTCTAGTCTCCTCCTGGTCTTCATATCTTGTTCGCTGTTCTGGTTCTTTTTTAGGAAGACTTTGCGCGGCCTTCGATACTTCTGACATAAGTTCTGCAAGTGAAAGTAGGACTGATGAAGACTTATCAGAAGTAAGCGATCCCAGACCGTCTTTGTCGCGGCTTAAAATCCTCAAGGCACGAAGACCGTGTATTTTGAAAGCAACTCCAAGATCTTTCATAGACAACTCGTTGAGGATCGCATCAATTAATTTCTTTCTAAGACTTAAGTCCACATGGAAGAAGCTAAAAGTCTTTTCATTTCTAGAACAAAACTGTTGAAGTGCTTTCACGGCAGCAGCTTCGTTTTGTGAACCTAAGTTTTCGAGAATGGCAATGAAATTCTCCATGACCTCTACGGCCTTCTACTTTTCGAATACAAGGCTTGGACACTTAGCATCAAAGTTGAATAGCCAGGTTCCTAAGTAGCCAGTAGGTTCCCAGTAGTACCTCTTACGTTTCTCTTACTCTGAATACTCTCTACGTCTTTTTTTCCCTTTTATCCTTCAATTCAGTAAAACTGTACAATGTCTGACACTTGGACCGAGATCCAAGAACACAAGCGCCGTCGGGAAAGTCTTCGTAATCGTCTTCAACAGCGAAGGAGGGAACGTCAAGGAATAGGTGTGCAAGACAATGATTCTTCAGGTATTGTTAGAACTTTAGATTTCAGAGCATGATTTGCACTCGAACCTCAAAGCGAAACGGAGAAAGGTTCGATTTATGAGAGTTGTTGTCTATCGGGAGCGCAGAACAACAGAAATAAGAGAGGGTTGGAGGGGAAAGGTACCTACTATTGTTCCATTTACCCAGCTTACACCATCAGATTTTAATCACTAGAAACAAGCAGGATGAAACGTTAAATTAAAGAATGAAGATTTTTAAAGTAAAGCTTTATAAAGATGAAGGTGCACTTTCTTTGGTGAAATGAAAAGTTTCTGGTAACTAGATCCCGAAAAAATTTCCCATCCCCCCCCCCCCCCTCCGGCTATGTTTTAGTCTCTGATCCGGTTAAGCATCCAGTCTTATTTTTACGACAACTCATTCATATCTTGTATGGTTTCTTAGCCTAATTTCCAAATGTTACTCATGGTTCATAGCATACTCTTCAAGATACTATTTTTTTGTTCAGATTACAATATTTTCCAACGAACCTATTTTTATTTGTCAAAAATCCCATTTAGGGTACTTGTAAGTTTGACATCTTGATTTCAGGTACAGTTTATGACAAGTTCCTTCAGTCCAAGGTTTAAAAAACGAAACAATTACAAAAGTGTGAAATTAAGTAAACTATGCTTTTCTCAACACAAAAATTCTTACTTGAAAATTTTTGATGCTGAACTTCTGCATTATTAGCAACATGTGCAAACATATGTGGTTTGAACAAAAAAAATATTGAAAAAGGGCTATTGCAGCACGCACACTTAAATTAAAAAATAAGATTTTCACCCTGTAGTAATAGCTTAATACTTGTTCAATAGGTACTGATGCATCTCAACCAGATACAACAGCATCTGTCCCAACAGATCAGTCTTCTGTTTCAAACAAACAGACTGATAAAGTTTTAAAAGTGGATCCTTTGTTGGAAAACAATCTACTTGAGTGTCTTTGTGATCCTTCCTTAACTTTCCCAGTTGATTCTGTTCAACTGACAAATTCTCTTTCCTCCAAGGTAAGCATTTCACTAGACTGGTTGTTGATCACTTCTCCTATTATTTAATGTTCTAAAATTAGTTTGAACATTATGCTCTAGTTATCTCATCACGTTTGAAAATAGTATTGAAGTGGTTACATAATTATATAGATGAATATAGACCAAGATCTGTTTACAATTCCTTGGAGCACTGTCAGTTTATCCTAAATCTTTGATCAACTAACCTCTGGTTATTTTTTCAACTCAATTATGTCCTTGGTTAACTTCCTTCTTTCTTCCATTCTTATTAAATATATCTTATTAACCAAGCGCGAGGGCCGTACTGAGAGAATATCGGCCCGAGGTCTTGACAGTACGGACCAAGCACAGCGAGGTCCGTACAAAAAAGGCCGAGGGCCGATATTCTTCCAGTATGGTCCCAAGCAAGCTTGGTTAATAAGAGATTTATTATATGACTGAAGTTCAAAGGGAAACAAGTGCGGTATCATTCGGGACCATTCGGGATAGTGCCCGGTCCAATACTTAGAGAATATTGGACCGGCAATAGAGCATTTTGATTGGTTGATTTTAGTTATTGGCCCTCTGACTGCCCGAGTCGTGTAATAATATGTACTTATTGACTGAGTGGGAGGGCTGAATGGGATAATGTTTGGCTTGAGGTCATGACATGCGAGGTCTGTGCCTCATGGGGTCCATGCCTTGTCGTTAACCAATAACATAGTTAAGTTGAAAAAAGCAACCAGAGGCCAGTTGATCAAAACACACGGATGTCATCATATGACCTCTAAGGGATGAAAATTTCAACATAAATAGGATGTGATAGACAGGCACATGCAGCCACACAAGCACAAAGAAAGATCTGCAATTCAAACTTTTCCTCTATTTTTTCAAGTCAGAATAAGAAACTCCCAATTCCTTAAAAAACACAACTTTTTTTTTTCTCATTTTCTGTTTTTGCAACAAAAGCAACATAAGGGCATAATGGCCAGACAGCTTTTTCCATGTCAGCTCACATCAATTCACAAGGCAGTGAATATATATTTTCTTTTTCTTTGACACTGAAAATGTGTTTTTATTTTCCCTTAATTTGGTGATAAAGCTGGATGAGAACAGCATTCCCCACACAGCGGTCGAGAGCCTACTTCACAAGTTTGCAGTTCAGGACTTTATATGGTGAGAGCTTATGTTTAATGCCTGTCCATTTTTACCATTTGTGTTATGATTTCCACTCGTGTCTTAAGTCAGGTCTTTATTTCTGACGTGAGCAGCACACTGTCTCTAAGATAACTGCAAAATTTTGTATGTATGCACAGCACATGCAAGTAGTTTGCAAAAGTAAATCTTCATGGTTGGTTTTCTCGCAGTTTTGAACCAAAATGTGCTTTCCAATGGTCATCTCTTAAATGTTGATATTACAGACTGACGTCATGCATTTATTTGACTGAGGGGTACATTTAGAATCTTAAAATATTGAGGAAATACCAAGTTGAAAAGCCTGATCACTTCTTAACAATGAACGGGGATACCTTAAAAAACAACCAATTGCATTATGCTTGCTACAACTGTGCATCTTTATTCACATCTTTATGATGTCCAAATATTTTTAGATATTCATTTTTCTTTGGAAATCTTCTGATATAAAAAAATGAGTGATGTGACCTGGGGAATCAGCTGGCATTTCTCAGCCTAGTGATGAGCATTCTTCATCATCAGCAAATTTCTTAAGTGCATTTATCTACTTTGTATAGTTTTTTTTTAAACTGTAAGTCATAACTGTTTGAAAGAGCAAGCTATAATGATGTCAGTTGTGGATTTTGATTGTCATCATGGTCATTGTCAGTAGCAGTTTATTTAAAACATTTTAAGATAAAACTGAGATGTATGTTTTTGTCGTTGTTCTTGAATGTTTTTTTTTAGTATTAAACATGGGACTTCGGCAGATGGAACCACTTGTACAATAGTGACAACTACAAACCATCTGAAGGTAGTTTGGAATGAGGTTGTACCTTGTTTTATTACACGACTCGAGAAGTCAGAGGGCCAATAACTAAAATCAATTAATCAAAATGCTCTATTGCCGGTCAATATTCTCTCAGTATTGGACCGGGCACTGTCCCAAATGGTCCCGAATGATACTGCACTTGTGTTCCTTTGAACTTCAGTCATGTAATAAATCTCTTATTAACCAAGCTTGCTCGGGACCGTACTGGCAGAATATCGGCCCTCAATCTTTTTTGTACAGACCTCACTGCGCTTGGTCCATACTGTCAAGACCTCAGGCCGATATTCTCCCAGTACAGCCCTTGCGCTTGGTTAATAAGATATATATATTTGATAAGTTGCACCAGTCAGGAGAATAACTCCTCTGTATAGGAATCTGTATACAGTATTTTAATCTGCTTTTTTTTAATTTCCTTTTTTCTCTTGTTTGTTAACATCTTGTTTTGGGGAAATTCTTTTTTTTTCCCACCAGATAGATGCAGTTCGTAGAAACTTTCCCAGCAAAGGTACTGCTTTTTCAATGCACAATTTTTTTCTCTTTATCAGTCTTTTAATTTCTTCCACTACAAATGACTTATGAATCATGTTGCCTTTTCTATTCTTATCTTTTCTTGTATAGTCTTGTTGCAGACTCACGAGGCTGTGATGACTACTAAAACTGCTGAAAAGAGTACAGACCACACTAAACCACTGTCGATTTGATCTTTTACCACAATTTTGACATCAAACAAAGCAATTCTTTGAGTGCATGACACATTGCTTGCCTTATTGACGCAAGTAGCCTTGTCTGTACTCTTATCAACAACAGAAAATTGGCCAATAAGATTGTGACATTACTGCTAATTGTGGTAAAAAAGGATAATTGTTTGGTATGATAATGACCTTTTTGTCTATATCACCCCTCTCTGTGGACTGGTTGTTGATTAAGACATTTCAAATTGATTCAGTAGCTGGTTAGTATATTTTATAAATGTAGCTGATATTCTTATTTTCCATTTCTTTGTAGATGATAAATCAAATTCAAAGAAAAGAAAAAGAGAAAAGTAAGTTTACTCTGCTTGCTCAAACTACAAACTACATTGTTGTCAACTTTGTCTAATTAATTATAGCATACAGGTACCCTTGTCTGTCTGATTTATGATATTCTGAATGAAATATCTCTTATGTGTGTCTCTCTTGTTTGTTACAAGCAAGAATTTCCCAATAGCTGGAATTTTTGAATAAGCATGATAAAAGAGTAATCAGCAGTTTCACTTTGTAACTGCTATAGCTGTTTTCGTGTTGGCTAAAAGGAATCCCAGATGGAGGGGTTTCCTTTCCACTGATGGAAGATCAGTGGGTGGACTGGGAAAGTAAACTGTATGTGAGGCTAGGGAGGTGTAAATAAAAATAAAATCTAAAAACTGAATGATTATAGACTGTGATTATTGACAATGTTATTACTTTGTTTGTGTCACAAGCCCTTCTGTTCAAAGGTTACATATACTTTTAGCTGGTTTATGGAAAACCAAGCAAACAAAATATTCATTTCCTCTGACTATTTTTTTCTTCCTCTCAGTGACTCTAGCAATCCAGTGTTGTTACCTGTCATTGCACAAACTAAACCAAGAATTGAATCAGCTGATGACCTTGAGGTAAGTCCAATGTGTTTTAACACAAGCAAGCATGGAAATGACCTCTCTTTGTATATGAATATTCTTGATTTTGAAGTCCTATGATTTCCATCTTTTTGGATACCACTGTTTACTTAGTTCCCCTTGATTCTAGCACTGATTGGTTCAATCAACTTAGATATAGAACTGTGGTATCCTTCAATTGGGTTACTTACAGTTACTATAGTTTTGCTTTTGTCATACTCACTCGTAACAATTTAATATTTCTGCTGTACAGGCATGTTATACAGTAGTGTTATACCCATCCAATGTGTTTCCTTTTTTTTCCAATGTCAGAGTCTCTTATCAATGCCGACTATGAAGGAGATGGAAGTAAGAAATTATGATACGCCTTTCTGTCTCATTTAATCAAATTCGGTTGGTAGACACTTAAATTATGTATCAATTTGTGGTGTGTATTTTTGTTTGTTTGTTTTGCTGTCATTAAAACCAACCTTGTGGGAAATCAAACTTGGATAATTTACTTGAGGTTTCAGTAACAATATTTGTAGGTTTTTTTTTTCGTCTTTAGGAAAGAGGAAAGGTTGAAAACGTTTGGTCACTGTTTTGTATTTCCTTTTTTTTAAAGTACTTTTGAATTTGATTCAATGCATGTCTTTCTGTGTAGAGTAAAAAAGTTGGAGAAGAAATTTTGGATCTTCTAAATGTACCATCACATAAGGTAAGGAAATCAAGGCAGGCTGTCATCTGCTTAAAAAAAAAAATTAAATATTTCAATGAGTTAGGTAAGAGGCATGTCTTAGCTTTTATTCTGTTTCTACTTGGTTAATTTTAAGCCACACGTGGTGTATATACCAGTTGAATAGCACTTTTGATTAGCTTACCTTGGAATATCCTACAAAGTCCTTTTTTTTATTGTTATGCACACAAGCCTCAAGCAAAGTGGGTCTACTAAGAAAATTCAACTGTTGAGTATAATATTCTGTTATTACTACAAGGAAGTGAAGATGCTGTTAACAACACCATTAATGGGCATATGTGAACACTTCTTTGTGAATGGTGTTGCTTCTTACCAGTTAGGACCTTGGCAACATTTGTTTTTAATTTTGAAATTAAATGCAAAAAATGTATGACTATTAAAACTGTTGGTAACAGTTGTTACTCAAATAACTGAGTAAAGTACAGAAAATTTCTCAATGTTTTTAAATGAAAGTTGCAGAGAATGCAAATCAAAAAGTAAGTGCTGTTAAAGGGTTCCAAAACTTGTACAAGTTTTAAAATCTAAAGTAAACTGTGGCCAAACAGCTACATTATTTACGAGCTAAATACATCTATTCTGCTTAAATCATTGAGTATACAAGGGTGGCAAAAGACTTGGCAGATTCTGATCCTTTTTTAATTTTTCCTCTAACTTTCATTTTTTTTCCCCTCTCTCTCATTTCAACATTGCCTGGTGTTACAAAATAGTCACAAATTTCTGAGAACATTGTGAGGGGAGGGGGGACTTGCTAGTAAATTATTGGAGTTGAATTGCAAGATTTCTATTTGTTATGTTGTGTGGAGGATTGTCAACCACTTTGTAAGGGAGGCAATTGCCATCTACTTGTGCCACTCTTTCTAGGTTTTGAGCTCTGAGAATACAAACATTTTTGTGTATTTTCTAACCATATAGCGATAATCACTTTGATCACTTGACTCAATTCGTGAGTTCAAGGTTGTATTCTTAAATATTGCAGGAACAATCTACAGTTGAAAAGTTCAAGTCTCAAGGAGGGGCATTTGTGCATGAGTTTTGTGATCATGGAACAAGAGAAGACTGCAGGAAGAATAATCCCCGAAGCCAACCTTGTAGGAAGGTTAGCTTATGATGTCATGTGCCATTGGTTTTATTAATTCTTGCTTTATACAAACACGCTGATGTTTTCCTTTACCAGGTTCATTTTAGGAAAATTATTCAGAAGCATACAGATGGTAAGTTCAATTGCTATCAGGATTAATCTTTTTTTGGAAATTTATTTTTTGTGGACACTGTAAGTTACATTATTGAAAGAGGAAGAGTTTGAATACAAGTTTTGTTTACTCAGAATCCCTTGGAGATTGCTCATTCCTCAATACTTGTTTTCATATGGACACTTGCAAGGTGAGAATCTTTCCTGGATAACTGGTCAGACGTTAAGTTTTTCATTTGAAAAAAGGCCAAGCTTGATGGGAGGTAAATTTCAATTTGAATTGCACCTGTATTTTTTAAATGGCTTTACCCAGTAGAACCATTTAATCATGAAATTGTCGTCTGATCATCCAGGTTGAGAGTTTGGTGTAGTCACTGACATGTCAACAACCTGAGTCACCACAAGCCCCACAAGCAAAGAGTGTCTTTTTTTTTTGAGAAAACAACCCTTTGTTATTTTGCGGGCCTGCAGGGTTTTATTTGAGTCTCTTGTACTGTTTCTTTTTTTTATTTCCTTTCTTTTTCTTCTAAGAGAGAGATGTTTTCTTCAGAGTGGGAGTAAAGCCTCTTTCATGCTTTTCCTTTTTAAATCCGTCGTCTTGTTTTGTTTTGTTTTTGTTGTTTTTTTTTTAATAATATTTTTTGTGTTCGTCAGTATGTCCATTACAAGGTTGATTATAGTGATGTTGAGTTGAACAAGGAAGAGAAGGAAAAAGACAAGAGAAAAGAAGAAAAGGTATGCTTGCTTTACCAGATAGTAATTCAGGGGCGTAGCCAGGATTTTTCAAAGCGGGTCACAACAGAGGCTACTCACCAGATTGTCATGTCGACCTCCACGCTGTGCCTGTTTTACTTAATGTTACAGTTTTGGGATGAGCAGTGAGAGTATAGTGGGCAGGCCAAGATATTGTCATGGCGTTTTCACCACCTGAATATTGTAGGTTGTTTGCTCCAAAGAAGGCCTACCAAGGTGGGGTCACGGACACCCCAGGAACCCCCCCCCGGCTACGCCCTTGTAATTTGGTACGGACTTACAAAGCCGCATGTTGGCAGCAAGGCAACTTTTAGCGGGTTCTTTGTTCCCGCATTGCCTCTTTTCCTCGCTTTGTAACCAGGCATCTTTAACAAAAACCGCAGAGGAAGAAAACCGAGTGATACTGTATCCACCCCAGGTATGAAAGATGTCTCGTGTGGTAGAACCTATAATTAATTCTTGAGAACAAGACGGTAATTATATGTATTGCCACTTGCTTTCATGTAGCTTGTTGTTGTAGTAAACCCTGATGAAGCGTCCATTTCCATGCTGGTTCGAGTACTTTGCCCTGTCTGTTACAGCGTACATCACATGTACAATTGACTTCTTGTGAAATCAACTGTTTGAATGATCTAATTTTGGTTTTATCGACCGAATTGATGACGTAAATTGGCCATATGCATCGTAAGGAGTTTAAACACGAAGGCGCGCCATAAAAGGAGCCTTATGTCCCACTGGACCATTTGTCAATCAACCGTCGTGTGATGTAGAATTCTTAGAGTCAAGTCAGCTTGAGCTACAGCTACTCCAAAGCAGTGAACAGCGGGCGCATTCCTCAAAATTGTTTTATGTCTTCATCACAATACAACAATTTTTGAGATTTGTACTTCCTTTCTCCAATGGAAACTGTCTTTATTTGTGGCGGTAAATTTGAAATCGAAGTAGGTGGTTCGCACGTTACCTCATGCCACCATGCTGGTGGATGTAAACAATAGATATCTCATTAGCTCCTTTTTTTCGTCTACCAGCATTTTAATTTGACCCGCACACGTCAACGGGGAGTGACAAATGAGCCCAGGTCTTCCCAGGGAAGACTTCCTTATATAGCGCGCCTTCGTGTTTAAGTTGAAAAAACTTACGGAATGACTATATAACTCAACTGTGCGCCTGCAATTTTAACAATCTTATCTTAGTGATGACTCTCATTTCCACCACAAATCAGAGTCAATGTGCCAGTTTTTCAATAAACGTGGTTACCCTGATTCTGTCGTTCAAGCGGGTTACCACTGCGCCCAACTTATTGATCGATATTCAGCACTACAAACGTCACAAAAGGAAGATTCCGACCGCATTCCATTCCATTCACTCTCACATTTCACCCTCACAACCACTCAGTTAAATCCATCATTCTTAAAAACTTTAACTTACTTCAAAACGATCCAGAGACAAGCACTATCTTTTCGCAGCCTCCGCTCATTTCATTTAAACGCGACAAAAACATAGGCAGTTTTTTGGTCAGAAGTTCTTTTCAGACTAATGACCAACCACTTTTAAATGCGCTCCCGCACGATGCAAAACGTGTCCTTTCATTCACAACACTGAGAAAATATCGTGACCCAAACGATCCATTAAGATCACCGATCACTTCACGTGCACCTCCGCCAATGTAATGTATTGCATAACTTGCACTTATTGCAAAGAGATTTACATCAGCGAAACAGGCAGAAGACTAGGTGACCGATTCCGAGAACACCTTCGAGACGTGGAGAGGAGTGACAAGGACACATCGAAACAAGTCGCTAGACATTTTAATTTACCTAATCATTCTAAGCAACATATGGCAATCTGCGGTCTTTCCTTACACTTAGGTAGCACGGAAAGCCGTAAAAATCTTCAACAAAAGCTCATCTTTCAAACCGGCAGTCTAAATCCCACAGGGATCAACGAACGCTTTTCATTCCACTAATTTATTCTTGTTTTTCTCGTTGCCATGTTCCCACCAATAACGTAGCTCCATTTTCTGCCTTTAAAAGCACACACAACCCACAATTCCTCTATTCGCTCCGACGAAGGGCTAACGCTCGAAACGTCAGCTTTTGTAATCGTTACGGTGGCCAATTTACCATTTCAACTTTGTTGATATATCCAAATTATTTCGTTACTCCCACCGACGCAGCCCCAAACAGTTTCTTTCGAAACTATCAGCCTTTAT